GACAAAGGGAAGGGTCCAAGAAGGTCCATTCCCACGAGGTCAAACGGTGTCTGTGGTGGTGCGATCGGCTGGAGCAGGCCCGCGGGTCTCACAGGCGGAGTCTTACGACGCTGGCACTCACGGCAGCCTTTCACGTATCGATGTACAGTAGTTGATAGTCGTGGCCAGTAATACTGTTGGCGTACTCTAGCGAGAGTTCGCGAATAGCCCAAATGTCCTGACGTGGGCTCGTCGTGGCACGCAAGGAGGATCTCGTCCCGCATTTCGGTAGGAACAACGAGTAGGAAGGCTTTGTTGCTACCACGGGCATTTTTCTTGTAAAGAATGTTCTTAGACAGAAAGAGGACAGTTTGCGAGCAATGTGTCGAGGGACCTGAAAGTTCCGGCCTTCCAAGGAATCAATAGCTGGGCGTAATTCGTCGTCTGCCCGCTGTTTTGACATAAATTCGGAATCGCTGACTGCTCCGAGAAAGGCATCTTCATCCTCGGAGCCCCTGACAGCGTGCCCCACAGGCGCTCGAGAAAGCGCGTCGGCATCTTCATGTTTGCGCCCTGACCTGTACACAATCGTAATATCGAACTCCTGCAAACGCAAACTCCACCGAGCGAGACGGCCGGATGGATCTCTGAGATTTGCCAGCCAGCAGAGCGAGTGGTGGTCAGTCACCAGTTTGAAGGGACGACCGTAGAGGTAAGGCCGAAACTTGGTCGTCGCCCACACGACTGCGAGGCATTCTTTTTCCAATGTAGAATAGTTGGTCTCGGCTCGAGAAAGAGTACGACTGGCGTAAGCTATTACATGTTCAACGCCACCGTGTCGTTGTACAAGGACAGCGCCAAGTCCGACGTTGCTGGCATCTGTATGAATTTCTGTAGCAGCGTCCTCATCAAAATGGGCAAGAACAGGGGCTGTTTGCATTCTCTGCCGTAGCTCTGTGAACGCCGCATCTTGTTCTGTGCTCCAAGTAAAAGGCACGTCATCTCGGGTGTGTCGCGTAAGAGGTTCAGCTATCTTCGAGAAGTTGGCGATAAATCGGCGATAATATGCGCACAAGCCGAGGAAACGGCGTACTGCTCTTTTATCTGATGGAACAGGGAAGGCGGCGACAGCAGTAGTTTTGTCTGGATCAGGTCGCACTCCATCCGCACTAATGACATGTCCCAGAAATTTCAGCTCTTCGTAGCCGAAATGGCATTTTTGGGGTTTTAGCGTGAGTTTAGCTGTGCGAATGGCGTCTAGAACCTTTCTCAGACGCTTCAGGTGTTCTTCGAAGCTCTCGAAAAGATGACCACATCATCGAGGTAGGCAAGGCAGCTTTGCCACTTCAAGCCAGCGAGAACTGTGTCCATCATCCTCTGAAAAGTGGCTGGAACAGGACAGAGGCCGAAGGGAAGAACACGGAATTCGTAAAGTCCGTCTGGAGTCACAAATGCAGTTTTTTCTCAGTCTCGTTCATCCACTTCAATTTGCCAATAGCCACTCTTCAGATCGATGGACGAAAAATACTTCGCGCGTCGTAATCTGTCGAGAGAGTCGTCGACCCGTGGAAGCGGGTAAACGTCTTTTTTCGTGACACTATTAAGCTTCCTGTAGTCAATACAAAATCGCAGCGTTATGTCTTTTTTCTTCACTAGAACGATTGGCGAGGACCGAGGGCTGCTGGATGGTTGAATAGTCCCGTCATCGAGCATATCTTTTACTTGTGTCTGAATAGCCGCACGTTCTTTGGAAGAAACGCGATAAGGCTGCTGCCGGATGGGGCGGACGTCATCGTCGGTAATAATTCGATGCTTGGCGAGGTGTGTTTGATGGACTTTGGAAGAAGAGGCGAAGCTAGACCGAAACTCCCTTAAAAGGTCATGAAGTGCAGCCTTTCTCTTGTCTGACAGCGTCGAATTGATGTCGATGTGGTCTAGAAATTCGTCATCCTCATGCGTTTCCTCGGACGTGAAGCACTGCGTGATGTCGACAACAGGGTCTCCATAGGCTACGGTGGTTCTGCGGAAAAGATGCCGGTGCTCGTAGTTGAAGTTCGTAACTAGTATTTGCGACTGTTCGTTACGGACACGCACAACACTTAGGGCGGCACATACACCTTGGAGCAGCAGAAGTGATAGGTTGCTTTCAGCCACCACGTCACCGTCCCAGAGGTCTTCACAAATGACTTCGATGGGAATAGTCGCTCGAGGCGGCAGCGTCACACTGCCGTCAGCAACACGCAACGCAGGTCTACGGCAGTTATCAGCGTCTCGATCTGTTGCGCCTTGAGTCGAGAAGGTCACGATGCGTTCACGGAGATTTATGATGGCGCTGTATTCCCAAAGGAAGTCCATGCCGATAATCAGCTGACGTGAACAGTCGCGCAGAACGAGGCAGCTGAGCACAAACGTTGACGCACGAATTTTCACTCTTGCCGTACAGCGACCCAGTGGTGTTACAACGTGTCCTCCAGCAGTTCGAATTCGCGTTTCATTCCACGGCGTAATCACTTTCCGGAGATCTTTTTCTAGCCTCCCGCTGATAATCGAATAGTCTGCACCAGTGTCTATCAATGCATTGACCTGAAAACCATCAATCAGCACAGGTATGTCAAGTGACACGCGGTCACTGGGTTCAGATGTGGATTTCGGCGTTTCTTCGGTACTGCGATTACTCTCTGATTGAATGTCTTCCGTGTTGCGTGCAAGCGTCGATGGGAGGTCTTCCGCACTTTGAGTCCCAGCGACCTTGCCCCCGAAGGCCGCTGCCTTCAGTTTTCCCGACGAGGGCTTGGAGAGCGTTCCCGTGCCGTCACATCGAAACGTGACCCAGTGGCTGCGGGTCTCCTCGGAGATGGCGACCGTGATTGCCGTCGTGTAAAGGGTGCACGCTGTTGCGTGAGATACTCTTCGATGTCCCTCGGCCTTTGACCCATTTGGGGACGAGGTGAATTGACGGAAAATCCACGCAGGCCAAGTTGCCGGTATGGGCATTCGCGGTAAATGTGACCAGCCTCACCGCAACGATAGCAGAGGGGTCGTCTGTCCGGCGTACGCCAGAGATCAGACTTGCGTGTCGGTGCACGGCGACCATCGATGTCCAAACCAGCGTGCGCCGACTGAATCGCGACTGACGGCATCATTGTCTGGATCGGGACGTATGGCACTGCCTGAAGCGGTACGTGCGGCACTGTCTGGATTGGTACGTGCGGCACTGTCTGGATCGGTACGTGCGGCACTGTCTGGATCGGGACGTGCGGCACTGGCTGGGTCGGGACTCCTTGACCAGAACGAGGCGTGGCAGATCGCAAGGCTTCCGCGTACGTACGACGGTGACTGTCAGTAGACACAGGAGCCGTTTCAGGATCAACCGACACCAGCGGAAAACGATGGGCGTGCAACACCTGTTGGACCTCGTCACGGACGACACTGGTGATAGAACCAACATCGATTGGTCCTTGTCCCGTACATCTTTTCTATTTCTTCCCGGACAACAGATCGGATGATCTCGCGAATCCATTCGGGGCTCTTGCTCCCAGGGGTGGCGAAACTTTCGGGGGTTGAGGCAGCATTCACTTGACGGTCAAACAGAGCAGACCGTTGGTGCAGTACTTGCTCCATTGTTACCGCTTCAGTAAGGAACTCAGCAACACTATTAGGGGGACTACGCACCAAACCAGCAAAAAGTTGTTCCTTCATACCACGCATGAGGTGGCGCAACTTTTTTTCTTCTGCCATAGCAGGATCCGCTCGCTTGAAAAGCCGTGTCATGTCCTCAACGTACATCGAGACGGTCTCGTTTGGCATCTGGATGCGTGATTGTAGTGCACGCTCCGCCCGTTCGCGGCCGTCGGGACTCCTGTAGGTCTCCAGAAGGCGACGCTGGAACTCGCGCCAAGATGTCAGAACATCATTCCCTGTTCGAAAACCACGTCTTGGCACCGTCCTTTAAGCAAGTGTACATGTTCCGGAGCTTCGTGGCATCATCCCAGTAATTTATCGCTGCGACACGTTCGAACTCACTCAGCTAGTCGTCAACATCTTCATGCTGCTCTCCATGAAAGGGGCTAGGCATCAGCGGGTTCTGGACGGTGCAGTAGATCGGCGTGGAAGGTGTCGGAGCTTGCACGGGATCTTGTGTCGAAGTCATAGTCGCTGCGTCAGTGGTTGGTGTCTCAGGTGGCAGGCCTCGTTGGCGGCGGCTTACTCTGTGAACAGGAATGTGCACGAGTTCAGGGCTTGTGTTCCGCCTGCTGGGTGGGGTCTTGGGCATCGGATGGATCGTGAGACGTTGTACCCAGCAACTCCACCAGTCTTGTTACGTTTCTTAAGACAAACTTGGTTTATTGGGTTCGTTGAGTCGACTAGCCAAGCAGCAGCTCAGACAGATCGTCTTTGTCTTCTTCCACTCCTGGATCTCACCCAAGCATATCAGATGGCAATATAAGCTTTTTAACCCTATTGTGTTAACATCTGAAGTGCACTATTCTGATTGCACAATTGAAGACTGATGTAAAAAGTGTCACTTGCGTTGCACTTGTAATAGATGAGCACTAATGTTGCAGTTAGACATATTTCTAGTATTTTTATTTAGGCATGCGGTATTTGTATTTTTCGCCATTCTACATATAGCATGGCAAAAAAAATTTAATCTAGAATCATTTTCTTTTACTCCTGTCTACATAGACCTGCCGCTGCTGATGCTAAATTTGTAAAACATATGTAGCACTTAATGAACAATAAATTTCTCACTTTATTTGACCTCGAAATTATTCAGTACTATATTTGGATCAAAAGTTCAAATGTAACTTAATGTAACGACACATTCCAATTTTTCAAATGTTACTCTAACGAGTTCCTTTTGCATTTAGAAAACTTGTACCTGGAACTCGTTGCGAAATTGACAAGGAACGAGTCTTCATTCCTGTTTTAGAGGAACGTGTACAACAATGACTGAATTTCAGTGGAACTAAGTGAACTGTGCAAAACAAGCGCTTTACAGTTTCCCGCATGCGCTGCAGGTGGTTTGTCGCCCAGCAACTTGTCTGCCAGCCCCAGTTCTCCTCGTCGTTGGGGTTCGCGGCAGCAGCGAGGCAGTGCCTTAGGCAATTTACAGCCATATTGTCAAGCCTTGGCTTGGGTGCTGGACGCTGTTGCGAGCCACCAGTTGCTCCCAAATGAGGTGAGATTGTTACTCGCAGGTGGTTCAAGTGAAACTTCTGTTTCTTTTCTTATGTGCATCAACAGCGAATCACCATAAATCTTGCGGCTTATTGCTTCACCGTTTGCTAATCTTTTGATCTAGGTTTGTGCAAGTACAATAAAACCTCATTAATTAATACCTGCTAGAAATGCTGCATAATAGCTCAATAAATAGGGGCTTCTAGCTTGCACATATGATTTTTTTAAAATGCTACCGTGTTACCGGGACACTTGCTATAAAGAAGTCCTAGCTCCCCATACATGAAGCGTATACGATACAACTTCAGGTCTCGCTACTCTGCGCTCGCCCCGCCATGGTTGTCTAGTGGCCAAGGTACTCGGCTGCTGACCCAAACGTCGTGGGATCGAGTCCCGACTGCGGCGGCTGCATTTCTGATGGAGGCAGAAATGTTGTAGGCCTGTGTGCTCAGGTTTGGGTGCTTGGTAAAGAACCCCAGATGGTCGAAATTTCCGGAGTTCTCCACTACGGCGTCTCTCATAATCATAGGTTGGTTTTGGGATGTTAAACCCCACATATCAATCAATCTATGGGATTAAGGAAGCTGTTGCAACGTGACAGAACATCCTCAGCTACGCATTTACTGCTGTTAGCTCCCGTTTTAAAGGTAGCATTGGTAGCATTGGTAGCATTAAAGGTAGCATTGGTAGCAACACGATTAATGACCCAGGAACGTTGTAACAAATAATGAGTGTTGTACAAAATGTACCCCTTCACATAGACAAAGAAAATCAGAACTGAGCTGCTGCTTCATTGCTCGTGTCATGTGGTGAAGCATTGCATAGTTTTTCGTGAGACACAAGTCTACTCATACTCTTGGGAGGGGGGGGGGGGGGGGTGATGATTCTTAAATGAACAGGAAAGAAAAGTGAGCTTCATAACTGTCTCTCAGGAAGAAGACACCTCCTTAGTAGCTCACGGGGATGGCGGTAAGGAGGGAATAAAACGATAGGATTAAAAAGTATAGAGATAGAGTGGAAGGAGAGAGGGAGGTGTAGGGACAGCCACATACGAACGTAAGGAGAAGATAGGAAAGATGGACACGGTCGCAGGACTCCTAGGACGGGCACCACTCGGCGAGAGCTCTTGTCGGCCTCAGGAGATGGCGTAGGGCGAGCCAGTCGGCCAGAGCTGCGCTGTCGTCGCAGATCGCAAGGGCACAACCGGTCGGCACGAAATCCAGTGACTTTTGTTTTGTGATAAAAGTCTCTAGGTGTTTCAATATAGATGGACACCCGTGGTGGCCATAATTCCTCTTTTTTTATTTATTTTATTTATTTATTGGTACTGCAATCCCCTGGAGGGATTTTAGCAGGTGGGTACAAAAGACATAAACATTAGCATATAACACCATGCAATCAGATGGAACAGCCTATCACATTTCACATAGTAGGCAGCCATGTAACACAAAGCAAAAAAATAACTATTACTTGCATTTTACAACGTAAACAAACGTAACAAAATTTTACCGATGACACGTCACTCTCATTTTAAGAGAACAAAACTAGCACACAAGTAAAATTATTTTCTTTGTTTTTCCAGATTAGCGGCAAAGCATGTTAAAGACTGTGTTGTGACTTGATGGTTATTTCAACTATTCTAATCCTGCGCAGTTTTGGGGAGAAAAGAATATTTGAAGCAGTTATTGCGGGTATTAAAGGGAGTTACTGTATGATCATGGCGTTGTCTAGTGGCGTAACCTGACGAAAATGAAATAATTTTTCCAATATTAATCTTGTAATGCCCATTAATTATTTGATATAGATATTTTAATCAGGATATGCGGTTTCTTTCTGAAAGTGAAGGTAAGTTAGCTCTTACTAACAGTTCATTTACTGAAGTTCGTCCATAACTGTTATATATGAAGTGAACGATTCTTCTTTGTACTTTTTTTACTTTATGTCTGTTAGTTTAAGTAAACGGATCCCTGATCACCGCAGCATAATCAGGTATGGGGAGGACTATTGATTTGTAAGCAAGAACACGGACAGATGGAGGGGAGAGTTTCAAAGTCCTTCGTAAAAAGAACAGTTTCTTATTAGCCTTGGAAGGTACTATGTCAATGTATTTTGTCCAGTTAAGATTATTTGTTATCCATAACCAAAGATACTTGTAAGATTGAACCTCGGAAAGAATGGCATTGTTTGTAAGGTATTGAAAATTTAGTTTGTTTTTCTTATGAGAAATGGACATGTACATTGTTTTTTTAAAATTGATTGACATTTGCCAAGCCTCGCACCAGGAAACAACCTTGTTAAACGACTCATTGAACAAAACTTGGTCCTTTGAGGATTCTATTTCAGAATAGATAATGGAATCGTTCGCAAAGAGCCTAATATTTACAAGTATACCATTTACTATGTCGTTAATATATGAAAATAAATGAAGGGGACCCAGAATTGACCCTTGGGGGACGTCAGAGTAAACGGAAACCCTGTGAGAAAAATGATTGTTAAAAACTACAAACTGTTCTTTGTTTTTCAAGTAGGCCGATATCCATTTAATGAGTTGATCATTCCTGAGAATTTTTTCGAATTCGTATAATAATTTATTGTGCGAAGCCTTGTCGAAAGCTTTTGAAAAATCCATAAAAATTGTATCTGTTAATTGCAATTGTCAAGGTGGCGTTAGTGTGCATACCTCATTTTGCGACTCTATATATGTTTTAACAGCGAAGCTGTTTGCCAAATCATATAAACTGTGAAAATTAAAATCAGTGTCACCGGCAAAGCGATGACTGCAATATCAAAAATTTGTAATGTTGTAATGGTAATGCACGCGTTCCTTTCTTTCTATTTTTGCTACCGCACCATTAAGCGTGTCTTGCGCAAACCGGGCTGGAATGACTGTGAACAATCAGATAATCTTGAAACCTTCGGATGAGATTACGTGCACAATGTGGACATTAGAGCTTGTTCTAGAAATTACGCAGCCGCTAGCGATAACATCGAAACCTTCAATAGCACATGTATAAATGCCGAAGCGCTTTGCTGCTTGGCAGATTATCAGCGGCCGACGCTCTGGTTTGCTGCTATCAGTCTACTGCGTGTATTGCTTGCTGCAATCTAGATAATCTTAGAACCTTCCAATGAGATTACGCGCACAACACATACATCAGAGTTGGTTCTGGAACTTCAGCAGCCGCTAGCGATAACGCAAAAATCTTCGATGACACATGTGTAAATGCAGACACACTTTTCTGCTTGGCAGATTATCGATTGGCATAGGTTCGGGCATCGGTTCACCCAATGAAGGTTCACTCATGAAAAGAGCGGCTGCTGCTTCTACAAAATGCTGGTGTAAGAAAAGACGTACGGCTGCTCCAGGAAGAGATGCTCTTATCGCACAATCTCTTTCCGTTAAGAGGGCACCACGTTGAACTGTTTACGAGTCGTGCGGTGATGCTCTAGCTCTAAGAATCGAAGTTCACTGCTGCTGCTCCAGCGACCCGTTTCTTGCCCTCTCCCCCTTTCCCCTGCATATTTTTTTATGCTCGTTCAAGACAGGCGGCGTGCTTCATCTCTGCTTGAGCAATGGACGACAGGTGTAACAAGCGGTGGGATGTTATCGCGTGTGCCTTCTGAGGGACAAAGATCAACTGCAGCGCTCACCTCTCCAGCGTGCGCAATTTTGCGCGTGGGTAGAACGTATGATGGATAGGGAATATTAGCAACTTTTAATTTTGGTGGAACATGGCGTTGACTGCGAAAACCTGTCAAGAGCCCACATTTGAACCATATTTTGAACATTGCAGCATTTTAACATGAAATTTTTTATTCGTCTGAGTAGCTGTTGAGAGCGCCGTTTATATTTTTTCTTTGAGTAGCTGGGCTTTCAGTTTTGATATTGTAAGGTTTATAACATATATATCTTGTGAGAGGACGTCAGGTACGAAGGAGCGACCGTTGTATTTTCCAACTCGGGCGCGAGAGGCAGCCACCGAACATGTGGCGAGAGATTACGATGATGATGATCACGATGATTTGTATGCGCAGGTGAAGATGATGAACTGCACAGTCAGCGCTCACACTATTTCCCCCCTACATAAAAGCGGTCAGCAAGACGGCCATTTAGTAAGGATACGAGCGCCGGATATAAGGCTTCAGGCGGAACAAATGGACGATCTCAATCCCGCGACAACGGTGATCAGAAGCCGAAGTAACTGGAAGGGCGTGATATTTCATGGCTGATGTTCGTTCAAGCATGGTGTAAGGACCCAGGTATCTGTGAACGAATTTTTCACAGAGGTCAGGTGTGCAAACAGGTGTCCAGAGGAGCACTTTGTCGCCTGGGTAGAATGACACAACTCAACGTGTCGTATCACAACGAACTTTTCGCTGGGCCTGAATGGTAGAGGTGTTGGCGCAGGCGATTGTGCGGTGGTGGTTGACATGGGCAGCAAACTCTTCTGGAAGGGACGGAGATGGGACAGAGGGCGTGGACAAGAAGCTAGTGTCTCGAATAAAAGATGGTGCCCACCCATACACAATAAAAAATTGGCTGTAACTTGTAGTGTTTTCAATGGCAGTGTAATGGGCAAATGTGACGAAAAGTAGTATTGTGTCTTAGTTCTTGGGATCGAGTTGGACATACATAGAGATCATGTCTGACAAAGTTCTATGAAAACGCTCAGTCAGACCATTTGTTTGCGGATGATACACCGAGGTGGTCTTATGGACGGTGTCAGAGGCCTGTAGGACTTCAGCGAGCACATGAGAAAGAAATATTTGGCTCCCGTCACTCAGGAGAACATGAGGGGCGCCGTAGCGCAAGATAACAGCACGCAGAACTAAGTCGACCACTTCCGAGGCAGCACCAAAAGGAAGAGATGCTGTCTCAGCGTAGTGAGTAAGATGGTCTACGGCAGTAACAATCCAGCGGTGACCAGTGGAAGTGGTTCGTATAAGTCTATACCGATTAACTCGAAAGGAGTGGACGGGCAGAAGAGAGGTTGTAGAGGGCCGGCGGGAAGAGATGTCGACGTTTTTGGTGCTGACATGACGAACAGGAAGTGACAAACTTGGAAGCACTAGTGGAGAGGCCAGGCCAGAAGCAGCTAGTCTTAATGCGATCGTAGGTTTTATGAAAACCCAAATGGCCAGCCGTTGGGTCATCATGAAAGGCTTCTAAAACTTGGAGACGAAGTGAGCAAGTTATGATGTGAGTTATGAAGTAAGCGAGTTATGAGGGCCCGAACGTCTTCAGTGTACGATGTGTACGATTCGTCGGGACCCTGTATGCGGGTAGCAAGCTTATGTTTCGCTACCTCAGAGCATATTGCAGAAGATCCGATTATCTGACGCAGCTGCTCCGTGAATGCTAACCAATCAGGAAAGTCGCCTTCGTGGTTATAATACCACGCCTTAGCGACCTCCTTGAGATAGAAGGGAACATAGCGCAGCTTGTGTGCCTAATCCCAGTAATCGTAAGCACTGGTGTGGTCTTAACTGTCCAGCCATTCTTCTATGTCCTCACCGCGAAAGCTAGAAAACACTGGAGGGTCTCGCTGCGAGGTACTCACGGTGTGGTGCGGCCCAGCAGGTTGAGCGGGTGCGACAAAGGCGGCAGGGGGTGGTGCGTCGTTTTGCGCCATCACTGTTGGCAAGCACAGCTGTCGACCAAACTAGAGCTCCGGGGTTGACCGTTAGAGCATGAGGACATGGGCATCACAGCACGCTCCACCACTTGTGAAACGACGTCAGGTATGAAGGAACGACCATTGTATTTTCCAACACAGGCGCGAGAGCCAGCAACCGAACACATGGCGAGAGACTACGATGATGATGATCACTATTATTTGTATGCGCAGGTGAAGATGTTGAACTACACAGTCAGCGCTTGCAACATATATATATATCGATTTGAGGTAGTTCTGGTCACTTTATCAGCTTTTAATGCTTAGTAAAAACCATGAAATTTTTCCTATTGATGAAAAAGCAAAGAGAAAACAAAGATGGTAATTAACAGTGATGTGTGACTCCAAAACTAAATTTTGATGCTCCAAAACACGGCCCTTGGTGCTAAAGAGCTGCTCCAAAATGCCCCTTCTACTGCTCCAAAACTGCTCCAAAACCGTGCTATTCCTGCTCCCAAGGCTGCTCCAAAAGACTGAAGCCCCCTTCCACTCCACCCCTGTTGCAGTTAGGAGAAGCTCTGCAGCCAGCGCCAGCATGCCGCGCTCCAGCAAAGTGTGGACTATGCACGTAACCAGAATAGCTATCAGATTGTGCACAAAGGTCAGAAGGAAGCTATACGCACTTGTAAAGGAGTAGACAACTAGGGGATATAAACAAAACAAATCCATGAATTGCTGCCGATGTCTCAGCCTGATGCAAAACATCATCGTCGTAAAACTTGAAGCTGAAGTGCTGTAATCTTTGAACTCTAAGCTCGTCCTCACTCAATTCAGGTGAGGTAACAAGAGAGTTTTGACAACCGCATGAGTTTAGCACTCCTGGTGTGCACACATGCGCGCATGACGACGGCGTCATAGGAGCGACTAGTGACACTAGACGCAACCCTGTGTCTGTTATAACCATGCAAGCAAAACCAAAATTGCTGGAAACTGAAATCAAGTGAGTTATTTGCAATTTCATTGGAATGCATTTTGTCCAATAAAATGGAGTGACTAATAGCATCAAATGCTTGCCTTAAGTGTAAAAATACTGCCATTACTGTGTTGTTTTCATGTGAACCTGTTAGCAAAAAAACCATGTTGCTGGAGACAAAGTACATTCTGATCACAGAAAGCGCCTTAGTTGGGACAAAATTGATTTTTCAAGCGTAGTGTTAATGCTATTCAGGACAGACGTTAGTCTGTAGCTGTCCGGAAGGTTACGATCACCAAATTTGTAAACTGGAATCACCTTGGCAGTCTTAAGTATGTAGGGGTAAGTTTTAGAAGAAAATGCATGATCAAGTATGTGACACAACGGACCATACAAGGCATCAATATTTTTCTTTAAAATTATTGATTATATGGCGCCATGGCCAGCTGCCTTGTTCTCTGGCTACTTCTTAACTTGTTGGTTATCGTTCTCTGTCACAACACACAGGTAGGAATTACTAGCCATCAATACTACCCGTAAGGCCGAGACCAACATTTGTTAAGTATTTTTTAAAGTTGTTGGCCATTTCACATGTCGGGCTATCCGGTGTAATGTGTTCTTTGATACCCACGCCAATGATGTCTTTAATAATTTGCCATGTATTTGTCGTGTTACTGTTATTTTCTAACTAAGTTGGTGTAGCAAAGTTTTTTTTTACATTTTCTTATCATTGCTACTGACCTATTTTTTTACAATTTAAAATAATGGCAGTAGTATTCATTGCTCCTGTTGTTTTTTCATTTATCGTAGTAAGAATCCTTCAGCTTCAGAACCCCAAGTGTATTTCTATTCATCCAATGACATATGGCATGCTCATAATTTCGGCGTGAACAGCAGCCCGTGGATTGTTCGATGGCATCCACAATGCATTGAACAATGTTATCACTCTTGACGTCCATGTCTTCATTATGAAGGGCATCGAAAAATAAGGTTGTGCTAGTGATGTACCTGTAGCCTTTGTTTTTTCATGGAATGGAAGGTGGCATAAATGTACTGTAGCGTGCCAAGTTGTGCCATACTTACTCGCATAATTTGCGCACCCCTAATATTTTGCCTGCTTTGCTAAAAATAAACATTTGCTCGCATATTTTGCATTCCCCGACCCGCCCAAGCCAGCTCGCCGGCTCGCGCACAAAGTGGCTTTGGACTTTTCGATGCTTCAGACGGGCGCATGCCTTGCTTAGCAGACAAGCGCAATCAAACGGGCTGCACGTGCTAAGTCCCTTCTTTCGAGAACTTCGCCTGAACTTAGAATATCGTACCGGAACGAGTCACCAGAACTGCTCAAGTGTTTGCTTCTCCTTATCTCTACCACTGCGAGAATGCATGCTCGCGTCTCGGCACGGATATTTTCAGCATTGGGGGCGTACAATGGCCTGTCACGTGAACTATTCACCTTGTTCTCTGCGTCCGTGCTGCATCGCACGCTTGGTCGATTTCGGAAGTTTAGGTTTCGCCATCCGGCCGACGTGTTTTTACTGTTCCTTTGCGATGAAAAAGAAACCGGAAATCGCGCTGCCACCAAACACTTCAAGATCAAGTACTTCAACTTGTGACGGTCGGGGCGATGGGTACGCCAAAAAGCAGATGTGCGCGCTTGCTAATGCAAGTTTCCTGCTATTAATGAAGGTCTTTTCAATTATGTGCGTATGCTTAGGTCTTCTGTTTCACTGTGCTGGGCCTAGTTTCTCCCAGCATTGTCTAAAAGAGCTTCATGAAAATGGGGCGTTCGAACGCGCTTGACAGAACACAAGAGGATTTGATTTGGGAGGCGGTGACAGCGGCAGCGATGATGATTCGCAATCGGACTTGCGATCAATGATTCCCACTATACCGCGCCTGACTGGATCTGACTGGTTAAAGCACGTGCTCATTCTTTTAAAATAACGAGTATACTTTGTTTACACTCCGATTCACTTTCTTTTTTAAATATATATACTGCGCATGTAAGGATTGTGACACAATATTTCGTATACTCTCGCAAAATCCCCACGTGATTTGCGCACCTGTTCTCGGGGCCCCAAAATCGTGAAAAAAAAGTGTGCAAAATTTACGAGTAAATACAGTATCTCACAATTTCTTGCTCATACCACTCTTCGCAGCTACTCGGGGCCCTTGTTGATTGTGGCTCTGAAAAGGAAAAACAGCAGTGCCACTTGCCCTGCATAATTTGTCTCGCTCTGTTTGATGCAGTCCCGCCAGTCAGTGGCCAGCATTGTTGGGAAGCTGGTCCGGCCAATGCAAGGCTTGCTCTCTTCACTCCACAGCATGCCAGCCCTGGTCGAAGTTGTGACGCTACTGGGGCCAGCATTGTCCAAGCTTCTTGTCAGAGGCAGTGGCTACACCTCAAAGGCAAGTGTCTTCCCTGTGCTGTACGGTAGCTGTTGACTGGGGCAAAATGCTTGTTGCATTTGCAGAGAGGAGACACACAACAGCGTTATTACTGGCTCAACGAGTCCTTGACCAAAAGTTTAAAAAGAATGCAGTGATCCCACTCCTGTGCCAACTGCGCCAGATCAGATTTACTGCGCCATCCTGATAACATAATTAAAAATTGTGCCAAACTGCACGAAAGTCAGATTTGGGAGTGTCTATCACCAGCCATAATAGCCACGTTGGCATGTCAAAGCATGTGCATCTTGTTCTCAGGGCCACCAAAGTCACAGTCACGTTTCTAGAATTCTGCTGAATTAACAGTGGTCACGGGTGCGTTTTAAGTAATCCACAATGCTATGTTTGATGCCAACACAACTTCTGTTGTGCAAGTCTGCTTAACCGTGAATTGCGCTCTCCGCAGGGGCTCGTGATGTCTTGTCTAATCAATGCGTAAAACTGTGGCGATCATTCGTTGGTGGACTTCTCGATATCACGGTCTAATTTCTCTCGCTTCGCGTCTAGAAAAGAACACGTGCACGGTGGAAACCCGTGACACTTTTCTTTTAATATGCTTCATTTATGGATCTTCATTCAGAAGTTCATTTTCATAATTCCTTCCACCAGCACATCTGCATTTGTAATTGCTGTTGCGGTAAAAGCTCCTAAAATACCCTGCCATTTTGAACTCGAGATTGCTAGGGTCTGTGTTAAAAATTTTCACATGCTTTTTAAATGTCATCTCATTATAAAAACAGGTTTCCTGGTTAGAGCAGTCGGAATCCAGTTTTAATACGCGCGGCTTTTAATAGAGAGGCTATCGCTAGCGGCTCTGGAGTCTGAAGGCCCGCGGTGAAACGGCTACGTTTTGTTACAAGTCGGCCACTCGCTTCAGCTGACGATTAAAAAAATTAAACATCACGTCATTGCATTCATTGCTTCTTTTTTCTTATTTGGTGGGACGGGAAGGGGGCGAAAGCTGCGTCACTTGAAGGGCGTATTCGTGAACGCACTATCTCGAGGCCGAATGAGACATGCTCGTAAATTTACTGTGCTACGTAAACGTCTGCTTCGCATTTAGATAACTGACAGTGCAAAAACCGCTTCGGCGATTGGAGTGATCACTGTCTCTTTAGTCGGCGTTCATTTGAGTTATGAAACGTCGTGTCCAAAACATATTTGTTAGTTTAGCTTAGGTGCGATACAAACAGTCTGTTCGCACTGAAAGTGCAAGCTGTCTTTAATGCCTGCCGAATTAGCGCGAGTGCCAATGATCACACATAATGTTTATCAGAACACCCCCTTCTCCCCTTGCGTTCCTAGTTCCTTCCTGCTTTTTGAAGATGGGTGGCACGTTCCTCTCTGCTTTAGTAACAATGGATGGCAAACCAGGCACACGAGTGATGCTATCGCATCTGCACTCCGTGCAAGGGAGGTAGGGGGGCTCTTTTATTGTGATAGCAAAGCAAATAAATGGACAGTCTCAGCTGTTTCTTTTTGCCATGGCCGTCGTCACTCACCGTATATGTATACATATCTAGTATATCAAAACTCAAGAAAAAAAAAAATGACCCGCACTTGGCGCCTCGCTCATCATGATGCGCTTGTCTCACATCCGGAACGTGCCCCCCCACCCCCCTCAAATCAAGGGCCACTCCTCCCTCAGAGAAATATTAAAAAAATTTTATCTATGCCCTTGGCAATGGCAAAGACCGGTTGAGAATGTCCTTGTGATTGCTATCGCATTAAAATAAACATGGCTCTTGCCTTCTAGTTGTCTTAGGTGTATGCATAAGGTACCCTTATTACGAAGTACCAGATTTCTCGCATCATAGCATGCCACATAATATACAGGGTGACCATCCGCCGCTCAGCGGCATACGATTCATGGGCGACAGACACTGCTAGTTCATCAGATGGAAGTCTTTCGTAGTAGTCTTCCTCATTTTATTCCATCGCATGCAACATTTTTTTATACAGACAGAGCGACTCTTTCACTAAGTGATCCACGTTGCCACCCTTGGGACTCTTCAAGAGGCTGAACTGAAGCATTAAGTTTTGCAGACAAGCGTAATGCAGCGTCGCTGGATCACTTTTTTTTTTTGTCGTTGACGCCTTCAGGCATTTCAGAGTAACCCAGCGCAATCACCGATTGACCAAATACTTGTAAAGCAGCTACCGCCTCTGGAAAAAAAAAAAAAAAAAGCAGCACACCCGAGGAAAACTCTGCAAAGTGCGCCGCTCACTACCCATGCCGCTACCATCAGCGCCTCTAGCGGCATCATCGCGTCGAAGGGCCTTCTCCGGCAAGCAAAAAGTGCCGCGCTCATTGCACCTCCCCATTCTAGCCACCCTACTTCTGGTAAAAAAGAAAAGAATAAACAAGAACTTGAGGGCCTTCTCTGTAACAAAGTGCTGTTTTGTAACACAACAACGCCCTTCTAATTTGAAAAAAAAAAAAAACAGTTGTTCGTCCATGTTGTGTAGTTAGGCTAAATAAGGAATTGCTTCATCTTTCGTCAAGTGCACTTACAACATGATTTTCTGCCGATATACTACTCCAACTACGAAAGAAAATTACTTTTTTAAAGATCCAGGAAAGGAGAAAAATACCATAAATCTCAAACTTATGGGAGCCGCGACCGCGAGCGCGCCGATTGTAGATAAAAGAGGAAGACGAGGATCGCGGGTGCACTCGCGGCACGCGGCAGCCGCTGGCAGCGGGCAATCGCAACCCGTGTTTTTAGCAGTAAATATGATTTCTGTCGGTCTCCACTTCTTTTTGACGGGTTCTTGGGCTAGCCTCAGCCTCGAACCCCTGCATTTGGCGCCTAACAGGAAGGACAGCGCCGTTGGGCCACGGACATCGAGGTACCTGGAAGTCCACGACCATGGCCCTGATGACGGCGCTGACCATCCCTACCTTTGCCGGCGAAGACGCGAGGGAATCGGTCCTCGACTTCATTGATGGACTTTTTCGACTGTTAGTAGCTTTCTGAAGTCCGACGTAGTTAGGCGGGTCTTCCCATTTGCCCTGCGCTGTGCCACAGAACGATGGTGGCGTCTTCAACCTCCCTTCCAGTCCTGGAACCAGTTCGTCGTTGCACTCCAAGAAAAGTTCCTGCCTGTTGCCTACGACTGCCGTATCCATCGTGAGCTTGATACCTGGATGCAACACCTAGAGGAGTGTTTGCCAGATTATGTTCGGGCCATGCTGAAGCTCTTCTGTCGGGTGGACCCCACTGCACCTGAGGCCGTTAAGGTCTCGCACGTAATGCAGTGATGCCACCCTCGTTTCCAGCTGCATCTGTTGGGTCGCTCTTTTCCTTCTCTCTAGGAACTTGCTCGCTTTGCTTTAGCATATTGCCGAGCCATCTTCTCCAGCCGTACCCACAGTTGCAGAGAAAGGAGGTGAGCTCCATGGAGGTGCAGCAGGGATGCATTGTTGTCGACAGGGTTCATGGGATGTCGCCAACGTTGGAGCGATTGCTGATGCCATGTTGGACCTTGACGCGACGTGAGATGGCCCTGCAGAGCGAATAAGGGCAGCGATCATAAATGTGGTCACCAAGTCTTAGATGATGAAGCAGCAGACAAGAAAAAAAAAAGAGGAAGAAGAGGAATAAGAGGAAGAAATCGAGAGTAACGGAACGCAGGGGCACGAGAATAGCACCAGATGAATCAGAGTCTGGTGCCGAGGTGGTTCACACTCGTGACTTTGAGAGGGACAAGGCTGCCCATGATGCCGAACTGGATCCTCTGAAGCAAGACACACTGGGGCATAATACCTGCATCAGTCAGTTGGAACCCAAGTTGGGAAGCTTGGTTGATGCATGTGATGGTTATGTGGTTATCAGAAACCATGTAATGCATGTGATGGTTATGTGGTTACCAGGTTATGTGGTTCAGAAATGTGGTTACCACCACATTTCTGAACTGGAGGACAAGGTCCGTATTCTAGAGAAAAAGTTGGCTGAGGACTGGCAGTAGTGCAGTTGCATGTAAGGCCTGTTTGAGGATTCACAAAAGCTTGTCAAGGATCAGCAGCAGCAGAACTGTGGTAAGTTCGAAGGGCAGTTGCTGGAGAGGGACACCAAACTGTCAAAACATGCGGCGCAGCCACGAAGGAGAGTTCCAACGGAAGCGCATACCCAAAGACTCACAGCTGGACGAGCTACGAATGCAGGCAGCAGACCGCCGTGTTCAGCTCGTCCAGGCCCAGCACTACCGGGATCGAGAGGCCAGTCAAGCAGGCACTGATTTTGGAACATAGCATGAAGGAAGCAGAGGACAAAGAAAACCAGGAGCGGACCCAAGGGTTCAGGGCTGGCCAGAAGACTTTGTCCGCGAAGGTGCTCGAAGTAGAGAGGCGGCAGCTCAGTCTCTTGTCGCACTCCGAGAAAACATTGAAGCTTGGTCTTAAGAAAAGTGAGGCTGTGAGATCATGCAAGACGAGTTCGTAAAGCTGAAGCAGGAGATGGCCTCGGTAGCTATGGAGAACAAGTGACTGATGGTGGAACTTGAAGCAAGGAAACAGCAAGCGAACAAAAAACAATGTGGACTGAGAGAAGAGGTGACGCAGCTGCAGGAATCCATGGAGAGGTTGAGAGAAAAGGTGGAGCAGTTGGAGGAAGCTGCAGCCAACGCGAGCAACTGCATCAGCGCGACTGGCCTGGCGTGCCACGTGGCTGTCCTGGAGGAACAAAGCTGCGTCGAGAGAGAATTTAAAGGGAAGTCAGGTATTCACATCAGTAAGGATGGAGAAATGAGAACCAGAGGCGTATGCAGTGTGTGCTTCAGCAGGGAAGTCATGACTCCATGGTTGTCAAGGTTACCAGCCTTCCACAACTACCGCTTGGAGGAGTGGCCACGATCGATACGTGACTAGTCCAGAAAGCTACAACGGAAATGACAGATTACAACGGCTTATGGCTGGCCAGGACTGGCGCTGCATCAGGAGCAACGCTGTTATGCCATGCTTTCACAGACGACCATGGTCGTCAACTTGAGCAAGTCTGGTGTGCCCCCGTCCTCGGGCAGCGGCGAAGTTGGCCTCTCTGCGTTGATCGACTGTTCCGGCAACTGGTCGTGTGTGCCAGGTGCGGTCCGTCGTGGCCAAGGCTAGCAGCTACCACTTTCACCATACGGGAGGAGGAGTATGGGAACGGAGACAGTGAGCGTGCCAGTTAAAGATAAAGGACGAAGACTTGAATCGTGGGTATGCTCATGGCACACAGCAGCCGCTGGCAGCGGGCAGTTGCGGCCCGTGCTGCGACCAGTAAAGATGGTTTCTGTTGGTCTCCGCCTCTTCCCTGAAAGATTCTTCGGCTAGCCTCAGCCTCGAACCTCTACTACTTCAGCTATCTTGCACACAATGTGACACCACATTTAAAAAACGTTGAAGAGCTCAAAGCGAATTTAAACTGAATGTATCACCGATACCATGCATAGAAAATGTGCTGTGTGTGTATATATATATATATATATATATATATATATATATATATATATATATATATATATATATATATATATATACGAATTTTTTTGTGGATTCAGTGCTTTGTATGCGTTGAGAAATGATGGACGAACGTGCAAAAATGTTTATTACTTCCCACGTTTCGGCAAGAGGGTTTTCGCACGTTCATCCATTGTTTCTCGACACACGCACACACACACACTGTTTTTAAATGCTTCTGATACGCTGTAGTGGAAAAGCATCGAGCTGATGGCAACACAAAGGGACGAGAAAGAGCTTTTACTGAATAAGAAAATGTGGGATACATTCGTCCAATTATCCCTCGAAGGGTTAAGGAAGAACATTTCATGTGTCGTTGATACATGCAATCGCAGCCCATGTCATAGAATGCATTTTTTATAATTGTCACACAGGCAAGCTTAATTTTCGATGCATAGCATTTTGCTTGGCTATGCAATATGTTTTCATTTGCATGTATGTGTGCATGTATATTAGCTTGTTTTACCAAAGGCATTGTAACACTCCTCAGGTTGAGAATTTCTGGAATAGCATAGAAGTATTGATGTCTTATAGGTATCTTATGTCCGGGCTTATGTTGTGGCGGTGCCAAGGAAAAAAATAACAAAAAAGAAAACTGTGCCCTGCAGGTGGAGCCAGTGTGGGCATCCCTGTGTTCAGCCCTGTCCTCCCAGTGCACGTCGTGTCCGAGGGATGACTCCCTCCTGTGTGCCCTGACTCCTCTGCTCGAGGTGGCCCTGGGATATTCACGGGGCCAGGTGCATGACCGTGCTGTCCACCTGTGGCAGTCACTGTTTGCCCGTTCTCCCAGTCTGCATGTGCAGCCCAGGCTCAGGTTAGCTCACATTTATATCCACCCTCAAAGCGCACAAGCATTGAGCAAATGTTTAGAATGCCTCTTCTAACTTCTTCTTGAAGATAAAAAAATTATCTGCTTCAGATGTGCCATGTTTTTTCCACAACCATGTCAGAACGATTCGTTGTAAAAATAGGAGGCTTTTAAGGATGTTCTCCTTATATGGACGCAGTTTTAATAGGTAACATAGAAAGTGAACAGAAATATGGTCATAATAAGAGATTTAACACTGTTTTACCACAATTTGCCCTTAACAGGAGGTCCTGATACAGTCTTGACTTTGGGACCTCCTTTTGTATACTAAACACATGTCACATTCTTGTATTCGTATCAATAAAAAATCTGAAATTTAGGTTGTACATATACTTTACATTACCGGCTACCGGACACCGGATAAAATTTGCACATGCGCGGGTCTTTACGCAAAGCAAACCTTTACGCAAGTTAACTACCCGCTGGATAGGCTTTGCCTTTGTGGCTCTATCTCGCAAATATACCTTCGTTCGTAGAAACTTGCGATATCCGCAGTGCGGAGGCTGCAGCCGTCAAGTCAAAGTAAGCCGAAGTGCGAGCGCGCGATAGTGATTAACTCAAGCCTCTTTATAACAAAGTTGCATCTCACATGAAAATAAGTTTTTTATATCTGAAAATTTGTTATAAAAGTTATTCCAAACACTTATCTATGGCAAAACTATTTATCATTTACTTTGATATCACCAATATTTCGTTATATTTGGGTTTCTGATAACAAGGTTTGAGTGTGCAGTACATTGTTTCAACCGGATTAGCATAGCTAGGATGGCCTAGAACATCGAAGCCATAAACATGTAAGTTCCCGGCAGGCTGGATTTGTGGCGCCATCTAGCGTGGTCCAAAGGAACCAGGAAATCACAAAATTGTTATTGTAAAATCATCATCAATTGTATGTTGGTGTAAAAACCTCGCAGCGGTTGTTATCACGAATGAGCTTCCTATTTAATCATTTCCACCTGAAAAACATCATATGCAAGCCAACTTGTTCTAACTTGTTGCACGAAGTGTTGTAAGTTGTCGACATCATCATTGCAGTAACCTTCACCTGTTGTGCATACGAGGATACTGTACATGATAAAATAACATCTCGCTATTTTGCCACAGCTATGATTCAACTCTATCTAAGTTAAATATACAGTATTGCTACCGCTGTGCCGATTGTGCCCAACATGCACTAAAAGGCGTGCTCCGACTTTGAGAGAGGAAAATACTTGAGGTTCTTCCGTTGATAATGACATCGTGGTGCATCTGCCTAAAATGCAACCAGAGCCAAGCCAAGACAAACTGGGCCAAATGTTATTCTCAGGATGCCGTTAATGCCTGGTTTTACAAATTTTATAGGGACTGGGAAATGTGCAAAAAATATCCATGCCTTCTATTCCACTCAAGTAATCAAATTGCCACAGCCCTTTCTGAAATACCTGCAATGCTTCCCAGAGTGCACTTATCAGGCATTTCCGTGCAGGCCCATGCTGTCATACATACATTCATGACCTGCTGACGTCCATTTGCAAATATGCATTGCGTGGTGAGTGCCACCAATTACTGCAAAGCGCTGAATAAGTTGCAGATTTATCGCATCGAGCCTCTGGAAATGAGGACGGTCTCATGTGGCATTAGTTGTGTGCAGCACATCGCGAACGCAGCTGACAGCGTTCCTACCGGGGCATTTTTGCACGCACGTGTTTGTCATAAAAATGTGTTCTTGGTGCCCACTCGGTTCCTGATCGCCCACGGGTGTGTCACTGGTGAGCTGCTTTCGTTCGTGCAGGCACCACGTCATTGTGGCACACTTGACCGATTCGCAAAGAATGGCAGTTTGGATGGCGGTGCGTGTGAGTGATTAAAAGCGTGTAGTACGTCGATGGCTGCGCCATGTGCAGTAGCACGCAGTTAGCTGAAAATGCTTATCATAAAGTAATGAAGTCTTACTTGGCTGTTTGCTGCATTTCTGCCGTCACGCCTCCGAGCATTCTTGGTGCTTATCCGTAAGACATCACGTAACTGCGCAGTGACACCGACCCCTTCAGTTTTTCTTTATGTGCTCCACTTTATAGCATTTATGCATTAAGGCAAAGCCGCCTCTCGGACATTACTGTGACGCCAAACAACTCCTAAAAGCGTTTGTTTAAGTGAGGTCAAAGACGTAGCAGAGGCAGGTACTTTAAGGGGGGACACTGTACTTGAGACAAAATGCCAGATATTTCTCTAGTGTTTATGAAGAAAATTCACAATGTGATTGAGGTTTTGATGCTGATTTCAAAAATGTAGTTACTGTCATTTAAACCAATTAGTTTTTGAGATATACCAAATAATTACCTATTGTTTGCTGGTATATTAACACAAGAAATTTGTATTGCTGAGCTACTATTGGCACATGCCTGTGTAATAATGAACATAGGCTACACAATGGTAGGAGGGCTTTTTTGAATGATAATTTTACCAAGGTTTATCGCACCTTGCATTTCAGTGTTGCAGGACACACCCACTTAGCTCCAATTTCTGGCAAAAAAATAATTTTTTGAATTTTGAAGATCTCAATAGAAAATTTCAACCTACCATTGTGTAAACTAAAGATGCAGCTACATGTCACAACAAAAATTGCAGTCCTAGCTGCTCTGGAGCAGAGATATCTTTTAGACAAGTTTGCAACTGCAGGAAATTTTGAATCCGGTGAAATCATGCAAAAACACAAGTTCATTTTGGGCAGACAGTAGCATGGAAAAGCTGTTTATTTTCAATGATTTGCAAATTCAGCTTTCTCAGTAATCACCAGGCATGTAGTCCTTCTAATTTGTGTCACCTAAACGGCGTTTTTTCAATGCCCGCTGCATGTTTTGAGAGCACACTTGCGAGCTGATCTGGTCGCCGTGTGCTCATCTGCCGACTAGGCCGCTTCTCAGTTCGGTCATGCCCATGTGCGACGAATGTGCTTGCGTAATCCACGGTCCGTCGTATAAAAAAGCGGTATTCCAGCTTGTCCAGATTGAGTTGTTGATGTCGCAGACCGAACTCGTGCACTAGCTCATCAATTTCAAGGCTCCATGAGCTGCGAGGTGTTAGTTTCATTTTCGAATGGAGGCCGCGGTGCAATATGCTCATCGTTGCGGACGCGTCGTTACTAGCACTCTACCTGTTGCCAGTAGCCTCCATTGTGCGGGCGGCGAGCTCATTTACCGTAAACGAATTGATTTTTGTTGTTGGCCGCACGTCGTCAAACAACAGAAAATCACCGTCACGCAGTTCACGTTGGACGGGAGGAACCCGTGGCATCGGCGCGTTTAGTGATAAAACTGCGCTTTCGTTCTATTGTTGCAAAGATTGCTATCTCTTGTAGCTTCACTTCTGCTTTTTTACTTGCCGTCCTGTAACTGTTGAGGCTCCAAAACACTGCAGCTTTCATCGACGTTGTCGACAACCGACGGGCTCGTACGTAAATTAGGCCTACACCAGTGACTCGCGACCGCCGTTGAATGCCGCGAGTTTGCTATCCTCTCTGTCTTGAGTATAGTGGGGCTCTTTCTGAAGTTCACAGCGAATGACCGAGCGCCACACCCGCTTTACAAATTAGTGCGGCGAGGAATTTTTTTACTGCGGCAGGCAGTCGACAGCACCATGACAAATGGTGCATGTCCGTGCCCGTCACGACGAAGAAGCAGACGCGGGAAATGCCACTTGGCCAATCGGTTGCCTAGGTTTTTCCACGTGCCCGAAGCAGCCAATAGAATCGCGGGGTGGTGCTTCTCGGTGACGCATTTTTGCTGAAAAACCAATGAGCAAGGTGAGCCACTAGTGGTGAGAAATTGAAGATGAAGAACGACCCTTTCAAACGAGACCAAGATGACCACGATAGCTCGTGTGTAACGGCAGCAGTTTTGGCGTGGAAAAAAGCGCGATTTAGCATCTATTTGTGCTCAGATTCATCTCACAGAGGTGTTATAAATTGATTTTGTGCCAGAAATAATGACGCGAGAAGCTAGAAACTTCTCACATGAGTGCAAAAATAGTTGCAGATTCTGGAAACGTCAACTTCAAAAAGTCGGGGGTTTTTTCGCGATTTCGGCCTTTTAAGTCCCGTGTCTCCTTTTAAGTAATGCTGTTTCATACCTGGAATGCTGTATGAAAACCCGAAAAATCGGGACACGAAGAGTTGCACCGGACGTGGCCGAGTTATTTGTCGGTGATATAGTTTTCTTTTTTTACTCTGTTATTCTTTTATAGTGAGCAGCACATTGTGATTGTATCATTGTGTGTCTGAATGCCGTATTAAAAAAAATGGAAGGAAGGGCTAGATGGAAGCTTGTGATGAAAAAGTCTGTAAACAGGGGTTGTGTCAGGCCGATGTTTGGACAAGCGGTCTTGCCTTTCTCAAGGCTAGAACAGAACACTTCTGTTCTGAAGCAGACAAATCCGCTTGTCGGAAGCAGGGCTAGGCAGTATCAGGATACAAAAGTATTGCGATAGTATTTGGAGCATACTTTGGGGTAGCTGTATTGCTTGTACAGTCGAAACCCGCAATAACAAAACCCCGTGAGTAAGAAATCCCCGCGGCAACGAAATATTTCCGGATCCCCGGCGAACATTCATAGAAGCCCATGTATTACGTATATCGCGGCAACGAATGTTTTTGGACAGCGATGCGCATTAAGGAATTTTCTACCACCGGTGCTCGCTGATGCGCAGAAGCCTGCTTCTTGGGCTCATCAAAAGAGCATTTCTCCGTGTTAACTTTCCCGCCTCAGCTGGCTCCTCCCTTTAAAAACAAGCGCACAAAAAGCAAATGTTGACGGTTGTTTCGAGGCCCTTGATTTGCTGTGGCCGCCATGTTGCCTCTGCTCGCCTCCCCATTGGCCCGATGCATCGCTCCGGGAAATCGTCGTATTCTGCTTTGCGTTGCGAGACATGGCTCTCGAAAATTGCTACTTCGTGACGTGTTCACGGCTCAATGATCACTTAAGACATAATTACGCTTAGACATAATTAGCTTTCCCAAGTGATCGCAGGATTATCGGCGAT